GACAACCACCAATCTCTTCTCTATATTGTAAGCCCAGTGGTGGGGTTTTTTTGCTTTTTTGTTGTTGTTTAGGTTCCACATATAAGTGAGATCAGAGAGTATTTACCTTTCTATAACTTACTTCACTAAGCATAATGCCATCGAGGCCATCCAGGTTACTGTAAATGCAAGATTTCCTTCTTTTTATAGCTGAATATTTCATTGTGTATATGTAAATGTATATATTATGTGTGTGTATATATACATACACATTTTATCGATTCATCCATTGATAGACACTTATCACATATGTTTCTGCAATGCTACTCTGTGCCATTGGTTTGTATCCCTCTGCCAACAGAACACTCTTAATAAGTTTATAAAAATGTTTGAAACTGGAGAGGGGCCAAGTCATGTCAAGACAGTGAGCTCCTTCAAGACCAGGGCTGTTTCTCACTTCTTATTCTTGGGCTTAGTAGGTAGGTGCTCAACAATCATTTTCTAAGTAAATAAATGAAGCCAAAAGAGGAAGTTAGAAAGACCAAAAGAAAAAGCAGGCAAGGGACATACCCCTCCCCTCTCCAGAGAGGTCCCAGAAATGCTAAGGCTGATCTGGTAGGAGTGTAAGCCAGAATGCTTGAATCAGAGTGGGAGGAGGTGGAGAGAGTTTCAAGCTAGACCCCTCTTCTAAACCTCCCAAAAAATAGAAAATGACAGAAGGCTTTTGGAACCAAGAGCTAGAGGAGCCTGGAATCAAAAGCTAAAGCTGTCAGCTTCCCAGCAGTTCACACCATGAGACAATCCTCCCACCTCCAACCCCCGAAGCTGCCAAAAGCCCCAGGCAGAGAAACAGGCGTCCCAAGATGGCCCCAGCCTCAGCAGCACCATGCAGCACTGGGGGAGTGACAGTGATTTTGGGGAAAAACACTATTATAGCTGAGATATTTTAAAATTCCACCCTCAAGGCAGCTTCCGGTTGCTATGGCAACCCTAGCTTTGCTGGGACTCCTGATTACCAACTTGCTAGAAGCACCTGCCTCTGGCAGCCTAGAGGTGACCTCAAGAGGCCGGGAGCTGCTGCCACCAAGGGGAACGCCAAGGAAGTGCTGCTATGTTCTGGCTCCAGGGTAATGACTGAAGGGACCCAAGGTAATTAATTCTCTGTTCAGTGTGAACACCCCATGCTATAGATTTGTCCCATGTTAATAATTTTAATAAAAATATGGGCCCACTTGTTGTTCAATTTGACTTACAGTCTTTTTTGTTTTGTGTTCACTTGGCTCCATCAAAACACAAAAAGGTAACATTTTCGTTTACCTTGGGACAGAGCAAATGAAACAGTTGGTTGTCAGTTTTGGACAAAGCTCCTAAGGGACAAGACTAGCCCTGGAGCTGAGTGGGTGGCCCTGCCTTCCAACATAGCTTTGCATAAATACCGTTGCAGACACTTGCTCTTCGGCACCCAGTCTGGAATGGCTGGTGGTATCCTTAGGAAACCCAAACAAGTAAGAGAGGGAAACGGCCACAGCGCCAGAATGACAGGCAGCCAAAGGGAAGAGCCAGAGGCAGATAGACACAGAGATGCTGCCATTGTCATTTCAACGTGGAGCAAAGGAATCTTGACTCTGGCAAGATTCCTCCCCACATAGTCATACTTGGCTTTATTATCCAACTCATTTCTGTACTCACCTGTCATTCCATTTGGTAAGCTTGACCTATTTGGCCCAAGGAGAGCTCACACGGGCTGTACGCATGACAGCAGCTGCTCCAGTATATAAAGCAACACTTGGAGAAGGGCAGTGGGCTGGCTAAGGGTGTGGAGAGTCTAGTGGGTATCTCAGAGAAAACACTGGACTCTGTCAGGAGACTGAACTGCAAGCCCAGCCCCTCCGTTTGCTAACTGACTTTGGACACATCATCAGTGAAAGGTAAACTCCTTGAGGGCAGGTACCGTTGCCAATGACTGGTCATTGCTATGGCACCTAGAATGGTATTTGGCACCAAGCAGATCTCCAATAGATGTTTCAGAAGTGAAAGAATGCATAGTCTCTGCCAGAGTGTCTTCATTTATAAAGATGGGATAAGGATTCTCTCTCCATTCGGGGCTTTGGGAAGCTCTAATAAAATAGGATGAATGGCATCTAACTTAAAGTGCTTTGGAAAAGGTTAAGTAATGCACAAATGTAACCTAGCAAGCCTGTTACTCAACCCAACAGCTCAGACGACTACCAGACAAGATGTTTCCGAGCCCAGGACTTACCCATTTCTTCAGAGCACTCGGAAGAATACTCACAATTAAATGCCTTCTGGATCCCAGGAGCTGGTGTTTTACTACTCAGTTGCCTACCCACCATCCATTCTACTGGTCTTCCTTACAAATAGACCCTGATTTTCTTTGAGCAACAGTGCACCCTGTCCCTGCCTCCTTGTAGCTACCGGTGCCTGGATGATCCACCTGTAGTCAACCAGACAGATCCAAAGTCTGGAAAAATTCTTTTAAAGGAATCCAGCTCAGGGAGCCTGGGTGGCTCTGCCAGTTAAGTGTCTACCTTAGGCTCAGGTCATGATCTCAGGTTCCTGAGATCAGGCCCAGCGTCAGGCTCCCTGCTCCGCAGAGTCTGCTTCTCCCTCTCCCCAACTCCTCACACCCTGCTCATGTTCTTTTTGTCTCTCGAATAAATCTTTTTTAAAAAATGAACAAGTAAGTAAATAAAGGACTCCGGCTCCACTTGCTTTATCTTTATCTTTACCTTTTCCTCCTTCCTCCTTCCTCCTTCCTCCTTGGAATGTGGCTGAGAGGCCCAAGGGTAGAATGGTGCCATCTTGCAAGTGGACAAACACACATGCTAAGGATGGTATAGGCCAAGAACCAGAGTCCTTGATGACACACCCTTGAGCTGCTTCCCCAGCCTGAGATGCCTACTCTGAATTTCCTATTGCTTAGAAAAATAACCACCTATTTCTTCAAGCCACTGTAGTCAGATTTCTGGAACAAGCAGCTGAACAAAATCCTAAATGATACAGTACTGTACTTAAAATAGCTCATTTATGAAATACACACTGCCAATGCCAATTTTACAGATGAGAAAATGGAAGCGTGGAGAAGTGAAGGAAATTGCCCAAGGCCATATAGCTAGTGAGTGGCAGCTAGGATTTGATTCCAGGTCTGCCTGACTCCAACACCCTTAGTCTTTTCACTTTTGCCATGATGCCCAACAGAAAAGAAATGAAAATCATGTTTGTCTCAAAAACACTATAGAAGGACTTCACAAGGTCTGCAAACTTACCAAGTGCCAGGCATATGGGTGTGGGTACACAAGAGTGAATCAATGTGGACCAAGTCCACAGAGCTTGTATTTTAGTAAAAGACACAGAATAAAGACATAAATATAGATCATGGGGTGATAAGGACTATGGAAAAGATTAAGCAGGTAAGAGGGATAGAGTACTACTTGTTATAAGAAGTTGAGAGAGTCTCTTTGAGATGACATATCCACCAGATATTTGAGAAGTGACAAGAAGGAAAAAAAAAAAAGGGAAGGGGTGAGCCATGTGAATAGAGGAGATAAGGTAAAGGGAACTGCAAATGCAGAGGTCCTGGGACAGGAATGGTACAGTGGACTGGCAAGGGAGCCAGCAGTGCTGGTACGACATGAAAGGGAAAGTGGGAGAACGGGATGGGGAAGCATCTGTGCTGAGGGCTCTTCCTCTGGGTGAGACCAGAAGTCATGGGAGGGTTTTCATCAGAGAACAGGTCAAACTTAGGATGCGGCTTCTGGGGAGCTGAGGGGAGAGCTGCAAAGAGGGAGGAGGAAATGAGACAGGGAGGTCAGACTGGAGGCTGCCACAGCAATGCAGGCCAGAGAAGCCAGCAGCCTGGAGCAGGGCAGCATCGAAGGCTGGAAAGTGCTTACACTCGGCATATTCTGAAGGCAAAGCTGCAGGATATACGGATGGACTGGCTGTAGGAGATTAAAGACAAGGATGGGGCACCTAGGTGGCTCAGTTGGTTAAGCAGCTGCCTTCGGCTCAGGTCATGATTCCGGGGTCCTGGGATCGAGCCCCGTATCCGGCTCCCTGCTCAGACGAGAGCCTGCTTCTCTCTCTCCCTCTGCCTGCCGCTCTGCTTACTTGTGTTCTCTCTCTGTCAAATAAATAAATAAATAATTTGGGGGGGGGGGGTGTGGAACAAGGGTGAGTCCAGGCCTTTAGCCTACTGTCTTCAGTGCTACTGTCTACTGTTGGGGGAAGGGGTGCGTGCAGCAGGCCCCCACCTGGGTTCTAGCAGTAGGGTTGGGCTATGTTTGGCTTTGGACACAGCCAAGCTCTGATTCTTACGGAGTGAGCATAGCTCATCACTCCCTCCTTTGTGAAACATGTTCACTCAGCTTCCCAGACACCCATTCACTCATGATTCCCCTTCTATTTCAGTGGCCACTCCTTCTAAGTCTCCTGTGTTCTCTCCTCTCTGAATGACTACCAGGCATCCAAACAAAGGTATCAAGAAGTCAGTGAGATACAGCCAAGTAATGAGTGTTTTGAGAAGAGGGGAGGGAGTCACCAGTTTGTGGCACATGCAAATCACTGCTAGAGTAACATGAGGGCAAGGACCAGGGGATTTAGCAAATGGGACTGTGGACGACACATACCATAGAAAAGTGAAAATGGGTCACTCCTAGAGGGAGGAAGATAAGAAATACATACTTGCCAGGATCATTATAGGAAAAGCTCCTTCCTTCAGAAGAAACCATAAACAAGATCCTTTCTTTTCCACATCAGAGGAGTTGTAATGTACATGCCAAAGCCTGGGCATAACTACTTCCCAGACAGACTCAGGCTTTGCAGGCCAGGGCCAGGCTGGGGATTGGTGGTGGGAAGGAGAACAGAGGGAGGAAAGAAGACCTCAGTGCCTTATGGAAGCAAAATGGCACCGATCTCTTTGCTTCAGGGTCACCCACACTGCTCACCTGCTATCCTTCCTCAACAGGACTTCTCAGTACATTCCAGAAGTGGTTCACAACTGACAGCATAATGAATATTTATTATGATTATTTTAATTTAAAAAAATAAGCCCCAAAGTCTCTGGGCAGTAAGCTAAAATACAATAAAAAGCAGTATCATAGTATTAGTGACACACCTTGCTGGCATGCAGCAGGGCCCTCAGTGCAGGCAAGGCTCCACATTATTTCACACCACTTCCCCTTTTTTCATAAGTCCCTACTGAAATGAGAGAAGAAACTGAGGCACAGAGGTAAAGGGACTGGCCCAAGGTCAGACTGCCAGAAGCAGACAGGAACTGGGCCCAGAAAATCCTGATGGTTCTACCCAAAATGCTCCCCGGGCACCATTCTGTGGCTACTGCCCAGCAGGAGAAAAAGCCAGTTTCTTCTTCCAAGTGACCAGTAATATCCACCGTGGGGCCACACAGAGTGTCAAGGGAAGCGGCCCTGACTTGATGCCCAGTGATCTGGGCCAAAAGTTAGTCAACAGGACTCCCCTCTAGCTCCAGGGTCCCTCCGTCCCTTGTCTCCAAGGCACAGCCCTTACTACAAAGCCCAACCCTCCTTGTGGAAAACCAGCTGTACAGCCTCGTTCACATCATTCACAATGTGCGATGCCTCTATGAGCCCTGGACTGAAGCTGAAGTCCCGGTGCCCATGGAATGGAGCCGCCTCTGCTTCCTGGGTGAGCCTGGTGGGCTCTGGGCCCTTGGGATTGTACACACCAGTGCACACCAGGATAGAGGCGCAGCTCTGGGTTGCTGAGGGCCGCTGCTTCCACAAGCCACTGGCCCCCTGCTCCTCTGCCCCACCATGCTTCGCCATCTGCAGGTACTTGTGGAACAGGTTGGCACCGTAGACATCAGACATAGGGTTATCACTGGAAGGGGCAGCCATACCGGAAAAGGAAAGAAGAGAAAACCACAGTTTAGTGTTACAAGCCACACAGAGCAGAGGACAACTGTGGGACTAGTATGCATTACATACAGGGAAACAGGTTGGTGAGTAGGTAGGGAGGAAGGGCAGGGGAAGTCCGAAAGTGATGAGGAGATGGAAAAGTACTTACCCGACAGCATAGAGCTTCTGGATGGGGGCCGCCCACCCCCGCCTCTCCGCCTGCTGCCGGATCAGGTCCTCTGCATACTGGTAAGTGAGGACGCTGGGTTTGCCCATCAGGCCCTCATATTTCAGCTCTTTGCCTGTCACTTTCTGGTAAATGGTTTCCAGGCAAAGCAAAAAGGTACCGTGGCCAAACCTGTCAGAGAAGAGAGCTCAGCAGCTCCGGCCTCCTCTCCCTGGCTCTAAGCAGGACCCTATATACACCAACCTTTCACTCCAGCACCCTGCTGGTGACAGATAAAGTAAAATTACTTCTAGTAAGAATTACATTTATTATCTATCTTTATGACGTGCTGTTATCTACTAACATTTGTTGAGCACTAGAGTGGCATATCACATGTAACTCTCAGAACAACCCCATGAGAGCTGTCATCATTTTCATTTATAAATGAGGAAACCGAGGCATACAGATATTAAGTAACTTGCCCAAGGTGGCAGAGCTAGGATTATAACCTAGGCAGTCAGACTCTACAAATCTAAATTCAGCTTTAAATCTGTGCAGACTACCAGTTACCCTCTCCCCTTCTTTCTCAGCGCGTTTTCAGCTCACCATATTGCGACCAGGTGTACGAAAGTATTTCCTTGCCTCCACTGCAGCTCGTGTGCAGCCATGTGAATAAGCTACAGCCAAAGAGTCCGTGAGATCAGAAGTACTGGGCTAAACCTCTAGGAAGTGTGAAACTGGGGAGTGGGTACTGTTTTCCACTCTCCCCACTCTTTCTTGCTGCCCGGAGTGCTGATCTGGTGCCTGCAGCTCAGGCAGCCATTTGAAACTATGCTGTGAAGGGCTAAGGATGGCAGAGCAGGTAGACAGGAGCCTATGTCCCAGACAGGCGTGACATCCACACAAGCCCTGCACTGCCTACCGCATTCTTCTTTTCCATGAGAAAAAAAAGAAACTTCTATCTTGTCTAAGACACTTTCAGGGACGCTTGGGTGGCTCAGGTCATGATCCCAGGGTCCTGGAATAGAGCCCCACATCGGGTTCTCTGCTCGACAGGAAACCTGCTTCTTCCTCTGCCTGCTGCTCCCCCTGCTTGTGCTCTCTCATACTCTCTGACAAATAAATAAATGAAGTCTTGAAGGGGAAAAAAAAAAACAAAAAAACCTTTCATTTTGGGTTTTGGGTTTTCATCCCTGGCTGCTAAGCCAAATCTGGATACTGTCCAACATATTAAGGTTGTATTTCAGTGTCACTTATTTATATTACAAATTCTACTTCCAATTTTTAAATTAATGGGTGAAAAGTAACCTCAAATCTGATTTATAAATTGAAATTTGCTACTTGCTATTCCGTTCCAGCCTACATAACCAAACCCCCCTCACCTAGTGTGTTGGCACACCCTAACTGTAGGAAGAATACTTCAGAGAAAACATCTAACCTCAGGATACAGAAATACACCTTTTAAAGTAACAAGAGAACATCACAACACCCATCTCTTTGAAGTTACTAAGTCATGTCACTTGAGGCAGTGTTGGGCCTGCTACCCTCTGTTGAATCATTCACACAGCCCACTGGAATCAGCAGCGTAGAGAGAAAACTCTGAACTTTGGCCCTGCAGATAAGAGCCACCAAATGGTATACAGTAGCCACAACTGTCCTTCCAGAAAGGCCCTCCAGGGCTGGAAAAAGATCTGCCTAGACTGTGCTTAGCCTCAGACAGGACAAAGGAGGTCTATACAGCTGAGCAGGGAGCGGTGAGGCAGGGGGAGACTGAGAAAGTCACTTACCCACTGGGCCTCAGTTCTCTGGCCTACATAACCGTCAGAATAATTATCGCTCCCCCTGCCCCCACATCTTAAGGGCAGGAGGAGACAAAGAGGGAAGGAACCGCTACAGGGAGGAGGCAAAGAGGAGCAGCTGTACTGCTAGGCCTCAGAAGTCATCCATTGTTTGGGTTCCATAGACCAAAAAATAACAGGTTCTGGGGGCACCCAACAAGCTGAACGGGTGGAGCACACAACGCCTGATCTCAGGCTTTTGAGTTCAAGCCCCTTGTTGGGGGCAGAGATTACTTAAAAAAAAGTTTTAAATCTGAAAAAAATAAAATAAAATAACATGTTCTATTAAGATTCTGGGGAGCAGGAGCACCTGGGTGGCTCAGTTGATTGAGCATCCAACTCTTGGTTTCAGCTCAAGTCATGATCTTGAGGTCATGGGACTGAACTCCACGTCGGGTCAGTGCAGAGGCTGCTTGAGATTCTCTCTCTCCCTTTCCCTCTGCCTCTGCCCCTCCCACTCATGCTCTTTCTCTATAAATAAATAAATTAAATCTTAAACAAATAAGATTCTGGAGGGCAAAGGCCATGTGTTAAAGATCACCTCAACATATCTTCAGTGATCAGTAAGCTATACTTTTCATTTACTAATTAGTATGCAAAATAACCCCTTGAAAATTCTCCCAGAAAGGACAAGTTTCTGTGGCAAATACGGGGCTGACCCAGGCAGGGGTACCAGAATGATGGTAAGAAACTGTCAGCAGGACTGTCCAAGCAGCAGCTGGCAGTGGCCACAACTGTCAAGGCCAGAGACTCTGTGTCCTTACCTAGGCATCTTGGCTTCAGCCATCCAAAGGAGATCCATGTTGCTGGCCAGGACAGGGAGATGGGGATAAGGAGCCGTTGCTAGACCAGTCCCAGGGTTCCCATTGCTGAGAAGGACATCCATGATGAGCTGCAGGCTTGTCTCCCAGCGGACTGGCTCCCCAAGGAGAAGAACCCCTTTAAAGAGCAAAGGCACGGAGGTGAGGCACTCTGCCTGACCTCTGTGGCAGGCAGGAGGAAGGCCCTTAGGAGGCCCACTGATGCCAGCTGGTGCCACCCAACCACAAGCTCTTTCCCCACAGTACACACCCCGGTAAGGGCACAGTTCCCAGAACCAGCCTTCAAAGATCCATTCACCCACTCACCCAAGGTAAACAAAGCCCAGGACCTGGGAAGGCACTTCCTAAGGGCTCCCATTTTCACTTGTACTCACCAGTACTTCACAGAAAAGGTTAAAATAAAACCAGCAGCCAAGTCTCAGGCCTGCTTCCTCCTACTGACTAATGCTCTCCCGACCACCTCACCCACAAGTACCTGGCAAAGGGCTTGCCTTCCTCAGCCACTTCTCTGAGCCCCAGGGGCCAGTAAACCTAACCACTAGGAGAGGAGGATCTGGAGTGACACAGACTGGCATTTCAAACCTGACTGCCCATTTTCCTTGTGACTTTAGGCAAGTTACTTACCACCTCTCTAAGCCTCTGCCTCAACTACATCATAATGATACCTACGATTGTTTAGGGTAAAAATGAGATATAACAAAGCACTTAACCCATGCTGGATACATAACACTTAACATGGTAGCTGCCAGTATCAGCTACAAGGCCAGTGGTCTCAATGGGGTAGTACTTGCCCCTAAGGAGGTATTCTAGAAACTGGAGGATATATTTTAATTGTCACCATGACTGACAATTAGTGGCAAGGATCGTGGGAGGGGGCCACAAATGCCAGATGCTCAGGACAGTCCTGAACAATCAGAAGCTGCCCCTGGTCTATTAACATTTGGGTATCCCATCTGACATTCGCATAGGTGAATAACCTGTTTATAAGTAATTGAGCCTAAACCCTAATTTCATTCTACATGTAAACACAAGGTAGAGCTTTAATAAACAACAATTTTCTAAAAATGCAACTATCATGTAAATCAAGAGAAGTCTGCAGTTTGTTTATCTTTTCAAAATTTTACCAAAGTTATTCCGTATATTGGAAAATCACTTCACCAATGACACTGCAATCCCTAATGTCTGAGTCACCCATAAAATACACCTATATCCCACCTATAAACACATTTACATCAGTCTGCGTTTGTAGCTGTAACATTCATGATGATTCCATGTTTGATATAATCATTTTACTACTTCATTATGTCTTCTTGAATAATCATTTACATACTGAAATACACATTACCTTACTAAAAATTTTCCTTTTATTTCTCCCTATTACAATTAGGGCTTTACAGTGAACTAGTTAATTTTTAATATACATATACAGGGAAGTTGTATTATCTATGAATGTTACTGCAGGGCAATAAAGGGGACATTACAGTATTTTTGTTACATGAAGGGGAACTGGGTTTGGTGGAGCTGAGAAACAATGGCCTACATTACCTCTGGGAGTTTTTCCATGCTAAGATCTTCTACACTTAACAATTTTTCTGGAATAATAGAGCAAGTGAAATAGGCAGGGAAATATTAAAAACAAAGGTCTCAGAGGTAGTGAGGGGTAGATCTGAGACTAGAACCTAGGTGACCTGATACCCAACGCCTGGAGCCACCCCACCAGTCTACAGGCAAACAAGCTGCAAGAGAATGGCGTGGAGGGCCAAAAGGAGAACCGCCCAGAGCCACACCTACACCAGCAGAGGCCCTCATTACCTTCAATGGCCGGGAAGTCGTTCCTTAGAAGGGGCTGCCAAGAAACAAAGAAAAGAACAATCAATGCCAGTCACTGTCCACTTCCCGACAACCACACAACTGTATCATAATGAGTGGCAAGAGAAAAGACATATTCTAGACAGATCAAACACCATCACCACCCCCACGGTCTAGCCCAAGCCAAGGAGAAGCTGGATAAGACCAAGGAAGAAAATTCACAAAGAAAAGTGAAGTCAGAATGGGCAGGGCTCTCACAGAACACGCAGAGGGAAGTCACATATGGACGTCAACCAGGAGGAAGGGCTGGTCACCTGTCCCTGTGAGGACAGGAGGTGAGATGTGGGCCAAGCAAGGATCTAGAATCAGGTAGCTAAGATGAAGGTGAGCCTATGAAGGAAAGGGAGGTCACCAGGACATGACAGACCACTTCTCTTGATGTGATATGAAGAGGCAGGAGCCTCTACTTTACCCATCCTCTGGGGTCTGTTCCTTCCCTAAACTATTAGTCTTGGCTCTACCACTAACCAGCTATGTGACCTGGAGTAGGTCACTTCCCCTGTGTAGGGCTCAGTCTCTGAGCTGCTCTAAGATCTTTTCCAACTCAGACATTCTAGTTCCACACATAATTTGCACGGTCCTAGGAGGAAGATTTTGAAGGTGATGAAAAGCTCTGTTCAACTGGAAAGCTCTAGAGGAAGGAAAACAAAGGCTACATAAACAAACAAAAGTAAGCTTGTCTGTTTATAACTGCATTTCCCCACATTTTGACAATGGTCTGACTTAGACTACAGGCTACGTGATAGAGAGTTCACATGAGGAAGAGGGGTGCCAGGGAAGGGGCCATCAAGAGTCAAGAAGTCATACTCTAAAGGATCAAGGAGAGGCCCTGTAAACCAATGGTTCAAATATGAGCCAAACCCAAAAGGAACACAGGCATACTCAGAATTTCCGGTTACCTTTACAAGCAAGCTGCTTCTCATAAGGACAGCTCTCCATAGAAAGCTTTAGGATAAAGGAGCAGCAATGATTAATTTCACAAAGGTTAATGGATCTCCCAGGCAACACTCGGAAAACCAGCCAGTAAAACAGGTAACTCCTCGTTGGAGATGCTAGGGCTTTGAAAGGGGTTCTCAGCTAATGACAATGCAGAAAGGAAAACACTTAGGAGCCTGTTGCCCCTCTGGGCCATCCCTGTATATCTGGAGAACAAAATCCTTGGCCAGATGTACCTCTATAAGGTAGAAAAGATGCAGCTCTCAGTGGGAGGGGTTGCAAGGTTGGTAAGAGGAACCCATGTGGGGAATAAGAAGAGAGAACTAAACATGAGACACCCAGGAGCATGCTCCTTATTACCGTGGTCTTTGGCCGCCGCTGGAGATCTACCATGTCAAGCACAGGAAAGGCCATCCGCAGCTCATCCACAGTAACCACATTCTCGAAGCCCAATCTACAGCAAGATCAGGAAAGCAAAGCCGGACAGTTCTGGGGGAAGATGGCTTTAAGGGGAGGGAACCAACACAGTCCCAAGCCAACTAGGGCACCCAGACAGGAGTGAAGCAGTGAGCCCAGACACAGCCCGGAAGGCCAATGTCAATCCTGAGGGTGCTGGCAGATGGGCCGTGACTACACAGCGACGCAGCAGCAGGGTGACAGGTCCCACTCTGGGTACTACCAGGGCACAAAGGCACACAAGAATGTCTGGACTTGGGGCGCCTGGGTGGCTCAGTGGGTTAAAGCCTCTGCCTTCGGCTCAGGTCATGATCCCAGGGTCCTGGGATCGAGCCCCACATAGGGCTCTCTGCTCAGCAGGGAGACTGCTTCCCTTCCTCTCTCTCTGCCTGCCTCTCTGCCTACTTGTGATCTCTGTCTGTCAAATAAATAAAAAATAAAATCTTTAAAAAAAAAAAAAGAATGTCTGGCCTCAAGGAACTCACCATAGGCCCAGGGCCCATCTAAACCAGCGCTCTGTGAACAGTGCTGGCTTTGCGGAGTTAAAAAGAGGAGACTCGTCACTGGGCTGGTAGTTGGGCAGAGTCCAGGGAAGTCAGACTTGAGAGAACTCTTGAGGATGAGCCAGATTCAGAAAGGATAGGGAGGCCATGAAAAGCAAAAAACCAGTGCCAACCTTATCTTTCCAAGAGCTACCTCCATTTTCTGTCCTCAATCCCCACTTACAATCTTAACTGGACATGGTTTCAGATTATTTTCAGGATGAATCTCCTGAAAAGGCTGCTTCTGTCAGATTACCCAACAGCAACAGAACCTGCAAAGACTCCCCCTGCCCTCCTAAGTAAGCCCAGTGGCCTCTTGCCTTTGCCTCAGGCTTCCCTTCCAAGGCTCCACTCCTCCCGCTGTCTCTTACTCCCTGCTCTATCCCAATCCAAACTCTGGCTTCCCGTCCTCACCTTCCCTTCTCTCTGCAGCCTCCTTAGCTCCTTCCCTCCACAGAAAACCTTAACTCTAACCATCTCTGGTAGCACAGCCACGCCCCTCCACGAAGCCACCAGTCACAGCAGCTCCCAGGGCGTTCCCTCCCCAATACCGGGGACTCTCAGAACCTATACAGTGCTTTTAAGTTTTCAATCGTAAGCTGTCATTTTTTTTTTTAAACGCAGATCCTGGCTGGGCTTCAGGTCTAAGCTTGGAAATCTGCTTTTTTCTTTTTTCTTTCCTCAGAGAGGAAATAGAGGGGAGTGTAGAGGGACAGGGAGAGAATCTTTTTTTTTTTTTAAGATTATTTATTTATTTATTTTCCAGGGATTGAGAGAGAGAGCACAAGCAGGGGGAACAGTAGGGGCAGAGGGAGAAGCAGACTCTCCACTGAGTGGGGAGCCGGATGCAGGACTTGATCCCAGGACTGAATATGTGGCTTGAGAACAGGATCAACTCTTCTGCCTCTTTTCTTTTTAAGATTTTTATTTATTTTATTTGACAGAGAGAGAGATCACAAGTAGGCAGAAAGGCAGGCAGAGAAAGAGAGGGAAGCAGGCTCCCCGCTGAGCAGAGAACTTGATGCGGGGCTCGATCCCAGGACCCTGAGATCATGACCTGAGCTGAAGGCAGAGGCTTTAACCCACTGAGCCACCCAGGCACCCAACTCTTCTGCCTCTTGAGTGTGCCCAGACCCAAAAGATTCACTGTGGACACTTAATACTAGCTAAGAAGTTGAATGAGCACCCCAAGGCTAGAGCAGTGGTTCCAAACCTAATTAGAGAATCACCTAGTTTTCTCTTCTAACATACAGACTGCTGATTCTTCTCTCACACCTAGTGAACCAATAATCTATGTTTTAAGCTCCCCAGTAGGTTCTGATTCAGTGGGCTAGCTTTTTGGACTATGGCACCAGGACCGGCCACACATGGAAGCCATCCTCCCTCCCTCGAGAGCCCACTACGTATCCCTTAAGCCCTGGCACCATGCAGCCAGCACACCTCATTATGGTCCTGTCCACCCCCGCACCCCAGCCATGGGAGGAAAACTCCAGTCCTGCCCCCTCCTCTTCAGCCAGAACAAGCAACACCAAAAGGATACACTCGGGCATTTTCCACCACGGGCCCCTGCCCAGACACCAGCATCCGCTTGTTGTGATATTTCGAAAAGAGCTTCATGGGGCTGTGAGAGAGAATGACTTGGTCCGGTTCCACCTGTAGCAAGAGTCAAAAGACAGAGGAGAGCAGGGGAGACACAAAGTTGATGGAAAATAAGGGGGAGACGGGTAGCTTCTGTCCACTTAGGAAGGGAAAAAAACTGCCCAGAAAAAAAGGGAAGGAGCCCTTTCTGGCACCCAACACTTGTAGACACTACCCAAACAGGTGTGAAAAGAACCTAATTTGGCTCTTGCCACAGGAAAAGAACAAGCAGAAAAATGCCATCAGTCATGGGTTCTGACCACTGACTGTTCTGCTCAGTTTCTCCATCTGAACACTTCAGGGTTAATGCGCATGTTCTTTGTCACAGTCACAGAAATCTGCCTCTGACTTTCTGTTTTCAATTCTACTTAAAGACTTAGCTTTTTAACATTTATAGTACTAACTCCAACGATGAAGCCAATACTCAAATGTTTTTGGAAACCTCTCCAGAAACCACAGACGGGAACCAGTTGTACTCCCTTGTTCTGCATTCAACCCCCAAGCAGTGTTACCCAGTCAATCAGCCACTTTATTTACTCTCTTGGTTCCAAAGGGCTCTTTCCAAGAACTCAATCCACCCTTAATAAAGAAGGACATGTCAACAATGATATACCATGTGGAAGGGCAAGTGGGGAAGAGGGACTGCTTTGGAGGACAATGCTCATTCAGGTATGTACCTTTTTTTTTTTTAAGATTTTATTTATTTATTCGACAGAGAGAGACAGTGAGAGAGGGAACACAAACAGGGAGTGTGGGAGAGGGAGAAGCAGGCTTCCCGCTGAGCAGGGAGCCCAACACAGGGCTCGATCATAGGACCCTGGGATCATAACCTGAGCTGAAGGCAGCTGCTTAATGACTGAGCCACCCAGACACCCCTAGATATGTACCTCTTTATTTATGAAAAACAAAGGCTATTACCTCAACATCCCACATTTAAAGAAAAACATGACCCTCGCTTTCCAGGGGCTGACAATCCAAAAGAGACAACCCTGATGCCCAGAAAAGAAATGGATACAAAGACAGTAGACTGAAACTGCCAAATCCATGGGCAGAATTTTTGTGTTCAGCGTGAACTGATATATAAAAAATACCCTTGCTGTAAGGCTCGCCTCATGAAGCCAGGCTTGACTGACCCAGCCAGCGGGCCATGGCCTAGGGCTTATCCACACTGTACCCCAACCCAGGAAAGGCAGCTTAGTCAGAGTTGGAATGGGGGTTCCACTGACAACCAGCTCTTTGGGCATTTCTCCAGTGCCTCCTTACCTTGAACCCCAGCAGGGCTGACAGTTCCTGGGCTTTGCTGTGTTGTAAGATGTTGCCAGCATTGGTGACAAAGACCACGGGCACCCGCAGCTGCCCATGAGCGTTCACCAGCCTGCGGAACGCTTCCAGAGCCGCAGGGATCACTCTGTGACCCCGTACCAGCACTCCATCGATGTCCAAGAGGAACCCAAAAGTTGGTGGGCTCTGCACAGAAGAAGAGAATCCCTACAGCCTGAGTCAAGTGGCAAAGGGGAAGAAGGAAAAGACCCTCACAAGAAGGGGCACCGCATCATCTCCACGTCACCCAGAGTTCTGAACAGAAAGTGAGGACATGGGATTTCTGAGAGGGCAAATCCATCTATACCAAAGAATTAGTCCCTTTTCATATATTTTTAAGCATGTAACTATTTGGCTAAAACTATCTTCACATAATTCATATAAAAGAATTTTTTAAGTGGAAAATAGAGAAATTCAAAAACATCCCAGGGCTTTAACATGATCTTGTCTCTTCTTTTTCTATTATTTTGTCACATAGACAACTACACTTTACATGTTCAATTTTGAATCTTGTTATTTGACATTCAAATATTTTTATATGTTACAATAGCCTTCATAATCATCTTTTATAATTTTATTACAACACACATGGAGTTTTAAAAAAAACCTCGATTGCTACAGATAATATTTAAAAAATGTTTAATTTCTTGCCTCCTTCTACCCAGTGCTATTTCCTCTCTCATAAATCTCCAGAAACTCTGTGTACATAAAGAGTAATAATTTTTTTATCTGTTGTTATATTTTTATCTGTTAACTAATGGCATTATATTGTGTACTTTCTTTTCCATCTGACCTGTTTTTAGATGGTATCTCTTAAGTTACCCTTCCTTATCTATATACATAGCTCTATCTTCCAAGCATCATTTCTGACTACAAAATTCTGAGTGAATATTCCACTAACATTCTATTTCCCCTATTTTTGGACACTTATGTTTTCCTACATTTTTGCTACTACAAATAACGCTATAAGAAACTTCTTCAGGCTTACTGATTTTTCCCTTAAGCTAGATTCTTAAAAGCAAGAGTATAAAGACAAGAGAGTGCAAATATTTTAATAACATTAACACCTACTGACAAAATGTTTTCCAAAAATACGTATCAATTTACAAGGCCACTGGTAATGCATTTTATTCCTGCCCGTATTGATTTTCACATGTATCAAAGAATTTGTTAATTATCAAACATCTTGCTAATTCAAAGGTTTAAAAAAATGGTATCTCATTTCAATACACATTTCTTGGGACTTATAAAGTAGAACACTATCCTTTCTTTAAGTTTTATTTTTTTTCTTTTAGTAATCTCTTCCCCCAACACTGGTCTCGAACTGACGACCCCAAGATCAAGAATTGCATGAGCACGCATGCTTGAGTGCACAAGCGCAGGGGAGGGAGGGGCAGAGGGAGAGGGAGAAGCAGGCTCCCTGCTGATTAGGGAGCCAGATGCAGGGCTCAATCCCAGAATACTGAGATCATTATCTGAGCTAAAAGCAGACACTTAACAGACTGAGCCACCCAAATGCCCATAAACACTGTCCTTTTTATTAAAAAAAAAAATTCATTCCAGGGGCACATGGCCAGCTCAGTCAGTTGAGCAAGAAAAGTCTTGATCTTGGGGTGGTGAGTTCAATACCCATTTTGGGGGAAGTGACTACTTAATAAGAATTTGAAAAAAAAGCTTAGGGGTGCCTGGGTGGCTCAGTCAAATAAGCATCTGGTTTTTGGATTTGCTCCACGCTTAGTGGGGAGGCTAGCGGAGATTCTGTTCCTCTCCCCGCTCTCCCTGCACTCCACTCTCTCAAATAGATGAACAGATCTTTAGGAATGAGAGTTTGAACATGAATAAATACAGGCGTGCCTGGGTGGCTCAGTCCTTAAGCGTCTACCTTCCACTCAGGTCAGGATCCCAGGGTCATCAGATTGAGCCCCACATCGGGCTCCCTGCTCAGCGGGAAACCTGCTTCTCCCTCTCCCACTCCCCTTCCTTGCATTCCCTCTCTCACTGCATCTCTCTCTGTCGAATAAATAAAATCTTTAAAAATAAATAAATAAATACAAATAAAAATTTCATTCCATTTATTATTTTTTTGAAATTTTTTAAGATTTTATTTATTTATTTGACACAGAGAGAGAGAAATCACAAGTAGGCAGAGAGGCAGAGAGAGCGGGGGAAGCAGGCTCCCTGCCGAGGAGAGAGCCCGATGCAGGGCTCGATCCCAGGACCCTGAGATAATGACCTGAGCCAAAAGCAGAGGCTTAACCCACTGAGCCACCCAGGCGCGCCTCATCCCATTTATTATTAACATATAAGATGTTTTTCAAATGTCAAAAAAATCCAACCTAACCTGTTTACTACTTTCCTTTTGTGGGCCCACTAAGTCAAGCCATTGTTACTGCATACACCTACTCATGGCATAGGGCTCTGTTTGTGAGCAGCAAGTGCTTCGGGCCCTGCATTTTTAGCTGGGGTCAAAGAAAAAGCAACCAGTTTAGGAAACCCATGAAAACTACAGTATTTCCACAAATGCAAATCAATTCCGAGTACTTAAGTTCTGAGTAAATAAACAGAATTAAAAAAAGGTAGTTATTTAGAAGAGAATTTTGAGCTAGGCAATGGAAGAGTTAAATAATTGCCTTCATTTAACAAGTATCTATTGACAGCCTGACCAGCAGCAGATCAGACAAGCAGCCAGAAGTGGCCTCTGTCTACACAGTTCGGTGGGAAAGACAATTAAACAAATAGCCATAGGACAGTCTGCACTGAGTGCTAAATTAGGAGATGAGGGGAAGGAAAGCACTCCAAGACCCTTAATGAGGGGCACCTAACCAGAAGAAGGTGGTGAAGACTAGCCATCCTAGGTCTCCTATGCCAACTGAAATGGAAAGTAACATCATGTCAGACCTGTACTGTAGAAGTATCTTGGCTGCAAAGTCAAGATTGAGTGAACTGAAGAAAGTCAAGTTGAAGGAGACCAGTTGGGACCAACTACAATCTAAGACAGATGATGGTAGCTTTAACTTGGTTTAACTAGGCAGGGCAACAAGAATGGTAAGAAGAGGGCAGGTTATACATAGAAGCAGAACAGTCAAATCCTGATAACAACAGGATACAGGGCTGAGAGAGGGAGGGGCCACAGGGACTCCATACTTTTTTTTTTTTTTGGCTTGGGACCCTGGAAAGGTGTACGCTGGTATTAGTTACTGACCCAAGAAACTAGATTGGCAGCAGCTGGGAGGTCAGTGAGGGCAGAAGATACATCCCACTTTGGACCTGTCAGATATACAAGTGGAGACACCAGCACTGAACAGAAGGTCCTGGAGAAGAAAATCCAGAAGCTCTCTGCTCTTAGAGAACAGCTGAAACTTGGGAAGGGACAGAAGAGCCCAAGAAGCACAAGCAGAGTGAGAGCAGAAGTAAGGCTTACAGAGAACCAGACCATCGTCATTTAAGAAAGGGCCACCTAGGAGTCACCAGCAAAAGAATGAGTAGCAAGTCAGTATGAGGAAAACCAAAAGGGTGTGGGGTCAAGGAAGCTAAGGGATAAGTTTCTGGAACAAGTAAACTAGGAAATGGAGTGACTGGGGTGCCCGGGTGGCTCAGTGGATTAAGCATCTGCCTTCAGCTCAGGTCATGATCCCAGGGTCCTCCCTGCTCAACAGGAAGCCTGCTTCTTCCTCTCCCACTCCCCCTGCTTGTGTTCCCTCTTTCGCTGTGTCTCCATCAAGTAAGTAAATAAAATCTTTTAAAAAAAAAAAAAAAAGGAAATGGAGTGACTGTAATGATCCCATCTTCCCTCTGCTGAATAGTTAAGACCACCCAGGGAGACAGTCTTCCAGCTCTTTCATACTAGCTTGTGAATAGGACGTTTCAGCTTTCAACAACGGCAGCTTTGGGGCCAAGTCAGAGGTGGGAAGGGACCCTGGGAAAATAGAGAAAGCAAGTCAAATCAGTAAGACAAATTCTGACCACCAGCAAACACAACTGCTAGGGAGAAACTTGTCAAATCCTACACGCCAGGAGGGAAATACCTAGTGTCTCTAACTCTTGGCTCCAAAGGCTGATCCTGTTGCACTCCAGATGGGTGGACTGTACTAGCTCTGAGTTGGACATAAAACAAAGATATGCTTACCTAATCCTTGTATCAACCTTCAGGGGGTGGGTGTCATTATCCCCAACTGACATTACATAGCAAAAGGGCCTGGTTTATGCATAATGCTTAACATGGATATTCTGACTGGATGAATAAGAAACCAAATTGAGAGAGAAGAATTAGTCAAAGGTGACCCAGTTCACAAGTATTCAATCCAGAGGTCAGCCTTAAACTGGGCTTACGGCAAACTCAGAGTTCATTCCATGGCTCCCAGGGCAGCAAGCACCTCAGAGTAAGGAAGGGATCCTAGAGGTACCAAGGTATCTGTGTTGGAACACGATGTTGCCACACCTCCTGCCACCCCCCAGTCATGTGAGTTCGCGTTCCTCTGTACTCAGTGTGCTCATGCACCAGAAGGCCCTCAAGGATCCCTGGATCCCCACCCTCTTCCTCAACAAACCCTCTAGAATGGGGGTCCTAAACAGGGGCCCACTGGTAGATTTCAGAGTGGCCATAAAACCCCTTAAAACTCTATGTGCAGGGGCGCCTGGGTGGCTCAGAGGGTTAAGCCTCTGCCTTTGGCTCGGGTCATGATCTCAGAGTCTTGGGATCAAGCCCTGCATCAGGCTCTCTGCTCAGCAGGGAGCCTGCTTCCTCCTCTCTCTCTGCCTACTTGTGATCTCTGTCTGTCAAATAAATAAATAAAATCTTTAAAAAAAAAAAAAGAATCTTCTTAAAAAAAAAACAAACCTCTATGTGCATTTTTCCTGGGGAAAGGATCTACGGCTCTTTTCTGATTTTATCATTTTATTCTTCTCAAAGAGACTCACTGCACAGGTCCAGATGGAGGAGGGGTATGATTTTCCCTTAACCTTCCACCCTGGCACAATGCTTAAACTCTCGTAGATACTCAACAACCCGCATGGTCTGCCTTCTTCCTCGTACTATATGGATACACAGCATACTGTTCTGAAAGCTTACATGTAAAACTCATATGCCCATAATTTTGAGAGAATCAGGGGCATTTTAAGGACAAAATTTTAAGTTACATTAAGGAATTGGTAATGTCGTTATGTATAACAACAGCCTTATAGCTAGGTTTAAAATGAAAATGTCATTTTCTTAGCGGTACATATAGAAGAATTTAGGGTTAACCCCTAAATGACAAGAAATCACCATTCATTTTAAAATCTTACAGCTGGGGGGGGGGAAAAGAGGGGAGGGTGGCAAGCAAAGCAAGTGTGGCAAAATGTCAAATGTCAAAATGTCAGTAACTGGTGAATCTGGGTTCATATTATTATTCTGGTTTTGGGTTTTTGAAAAGTTAATTTGTAAGTATTTGTGTTGATGGCTACAAAATATAACCATACAGTTTTAATGGTCTTCTGGCCATGTCCTAAATAGTCACAAAATTTGCTCTCTTAGAAATAAGAATCGACAGTCCCTGCTACTTAGAACAGGAGTGTTTTCAGGACAATTTAGCAACATCCTTAAGACTTCCTCATCTCTAACTACACAAATAAGTAACATACACCTCCAACCCTCAGGTGAATGTACACAGAGAAACCAGGCACCCAGCCACAAGAAAGTAAAGATGCAAGTCAACTGTAACAAATGTGTCACACTACCGCAAAGATATTAATAATACACAGCCAGAAGACCACTAAAAACCGGGGGGAGAGGGCATAAAAATAGGATTTCTCTACACTTTCCATTCACCCTGTCTTTAAATCTGCTCTAAAAAATAAAGTTTATTCATTTTTTTAAAGATTTCACGTATTTATTCGAAAGAGAGAGACACAGCCAGAGAGGGAACACACGCAGGGGGAGTGGGAGAGGGAGAAGCAGGCTTCCCACTGAGCAGGGAGCCCAATTCGGGGCCTGACTCCAGGACCCTGGGATCATGACCTGAGTTGAAGGCAGACACTTAACGACTGAGCCACCCAGGCGCCCCTTATTAATTTTTTTACATGAAGGTACCTAGAGAAGGAAAAAGAAACAGACTTTTTCTCTTCATTTTTCTTTTCATTCTCTTCTGTATCTACATTCTGATTTTTCTTCTTTATCACTTGGGTTTTTTTTTTTCCCACTCAGAATTTTTTTTTTTTTAATTTCAGTGTACCAGAATTCATTGTTTATGCACCACACCCAGTGCTCCATGCAATACATGCCCTCCATAATACCCACCACCAGGCTCACCCAACTACCGCCCCCCCAACCCCTTCAAAACCCTCAGATTGTTTTTCAGAGTCCATAGTCTCTCATGGTTCATATATCACTTGGGTTTTTAAAGAACTAGTCCTGGGTATCAGGCCAGATCCTCTAAGTAAAGTTTGTATCATTATCTGTGGCAATGATTCAAAATATGTGTTGTTGTTTTTTTTTGAAAGATTTTATTTATTTATTTGACAGAGATCACAAGTAGGCAGAGAGGCAGGCAGAGAGAGGGGAAGGGAAAGCAGGCTCCCTGCTGAGCAGAGAGCCCGATGCGGGGCTAGATCCCAGGACCCTGGGATCATGACCTGAGCCGAAGGCAGAGGCTTTAACCCACTGAGCCACCCAGCCGCCTCCTAAAATATGTGGTTTTAAGATTAGTTTGAAGTGAAAGGACTACTAAGATGTTCCTCTGTGTTTTGGCTTCTTACCTGTAATGAGTTTGGTAGGTTTTCAACAACAGCATTACAACTACTGTCTACTTTACTGTCTACTCCATCCACTTCCACATTTAAGAGAACTTGCTATGTGCCAGTCACTGCAAAGTACCCTGCATATATCACAAAAAGTACCCTACAAATATTCTTGCAAAAGCACTGCAGGGTAAGTAATATCCTCAATACACCAATGGAGAAATTGAAGCTTAGAAAGCTAAGTAATTTGCCTTAAGTCAAACGGGACAGGCAGGATTCAGTTCTAAAGCTAGTACTCTGAAATGCTGTGCTATGCTACATCCCTTTCTTCCCTTTTTCTACTCTATCAGAAAGTCACTTGGAATGATCTCAGGACCTGCAAAAATGCTAAAGTCAATACAATAGTTATAAATGACAGCAAAGTCCTTTTCACAACACATTCTCACTCCATGCCTCCAGTGTGGTCACTTTCAGCTTTGTGACACTGGTCAAGTCACTTAATTCTTATGGTTCATATATCACTTGGGTTTTTAAAGAACTAGTCCTGGGTATCAGGCCAGTTCTTTAGCTGTTCTATGTGCAAAATGATAACAATGATAACACAGGGGTTAAGAGCTAGAACTCTAGCACCAGACTGCCCTGGATTGCAGGATTTGACCAATGACCAGCTGTATGCCCTTGGGCAAGCTGCTTAACTTCTCTGTGCTTCAGTTCCTCCATCTGTAAAATGGAATAACAATACTTACTTCAGAGCTGTTACGAAAAGCATGCAAATTAGTAATTGTGAAGCATCTGACACAAAGTGCTATGTGTTTTTAAAAATAAGGAATTATTTAAAATTATCAAGGGGTTACTGTGAAAGCACTACAAACATGTACAATATTATTACATACAGAAACTGTGATTTTTAGAAAACGAAATTATCCTTAAAAAAAAAAGGGGGGGGGGACAACTGGCCCAGAGGAAAGTGAGAGTGACAGATGTGCCCACCTGGCCTGGAGTCCTGGCACAGCAGTCCACCAGCTGTTTGACCTGACAAAGAAAAGTACTTAAAAACTTGACTCCAGGGCGCCTAGGTGGTTGGCTGAGCTCCTACTGCCTTCAGCTCAGGTCATGATACTGAAGTCCCGGAATTGAGTTCTGCATGGGGCACCCTGCTCAGCAGGGGATCTGCTTCTCCCTCGGACCTTCCCCAGCGACCTTCCCCATCTCATGCTCGCTCGCTCACAGGGTTACATCCACCTCCAGAGTTGGGGAGAGAATTATTATCACTGAAGTGCCTGGCACATATTAGGGACCCTGCGCCGGTTCCCCTTCTCTCGCCTCTCAGATCTTCCACGTAACAGCTGCTCATTATGAATAAGGTTCACAAGCGAATGGGACCAAAGTAAAAAGCCCCACACAAAACCCACATTCATCGCTGGGTTGTCCATTTATAGGTGCAGCTCCCAGAGGGGAGTCCACTGCGAGTCGCCAAATTTCTTTCAAATGTAGCTGAAAATCAAAACCGAAAGACTCTCATCCTGAAGAATCACAGAGGAAGTGCAGGAATCATACCCTGACCGGGAAAATAGAAACACAGAAACTGCCGAGTAACTTTGGAGACGAAAAGCGGCGAGCGGCGAAGAATCAATCCTGGCGCGCGTTTTGGGCTTGTTTTGTTCATTCTCTCGCTGAAGTAACTTTTCAGGCAGGCCGAAGGCATGACAAATCCCCTGAATGAGGGGGAGGCAGGGGGTGCAGGGGACACTCGTGCTCAGAGCAAGAACGAAGTGCACTAGAGGTCAGTGGCCTCGTCCAGGAGCTATGCGGCCCGCGTCCCCTCCCTCCCCGCTGCTCCGGCCCCACCCCCAGCCCTGAGGACCCGCTCGGCAGAACTCGGCCGTTCTCACCTGCGCGGCGTCCACAGAGTAGCCTCTCCCCGGGCAGCGGCCCCGGAGCCCCAACGACTCGCGCGCCGCCCGCCACCAGAGTCCCGGCGCCGCGCGGACCGCCGCGAGGGAGCGGAGAACAGCCATCCAGCCGCCCGTCGCGCGCACGTGCAGACGCGCCAGCCCTGTCCGTGCCCCACCCCGCCCCCGCCGCACAGCCAGTCAGCGGCGGGGGAGCGCTCGGGCCGGGCGGCGCCCGAGGCATTTCGGGAGTTGTAGTCCCACGTCCGTGTCCCGAATCCCGGCGGGGCGCGGGGCGTGTTAGGAGCCGAGTCAAGCCCGGCGTGGTGGGTCCCGCAGGGTGCAGGGGGAGGTTGGGGCCGGGGTTCTTGCCCCGCGGGCCAGGGGTTAGGGGTGGAAGGTGGGGCGGGTGAGGTTCCTGTTGGAGCGGAAGGAGGCAGGCAAGGTCCGGCCTCTTAGTAGACGGAGACTTGAGGTAAGCAGGCCAGTGTGCACGGACTCTGTACCTGCGGAACTTCCTGGAACGTGCCTTTCTATCTGAAGTACTAGCTCCCTCAACCCTCAGCCCTCAGCAACTCTCAGGGAGACGAGAAACTGTGTGGAAGGAACTAATACTTATTTGCAAGGAGCGGGGGCGGAAGAGCAAAGCTTTCTTTTGATGTTCGAGAGCCCTGAACCCCAGTCAATCAAGAAATACTTGGAGGTTACCAATTAGTCATTCTTGTGGTCTTTAAGTAAATATTCTCTAAGGTCCTCCTTCCTGCCCAGCTCTGTGCTAACTCCTGGGGAGAATATACATAAATAATACTGCAAACTCACACTTTGTAGGGAGGTCGAGACAGGACTATAATACAAGATAGAAAATAACTCCCGAAAGAGGGAAAGCACCTTTGTGTCCACCATTTGAAATGTTTAAGATGCTCCCTTTCAGACCGTTTGACCTGTGCCTGGTGATAGTTAACACTAAGAATGGCTGAGCCTGCAATATATTTAGCACTAGGTGAGAGGAAGCAGGTGGGGTCTGGGATGGGCAGAAACTCTGCCCTCTCAGAGGTTAGCAACATCCTTAGATCCTCAACCTTGAAGGCCAAGATCGAACTTTTGGCAGTTCCCTGCAACTGAGAGAATCTGGCAGACTGATTCACTTTAACCAACCTACAACTGCCCAGCACTTAAACCCTGCCAGGGGACATGGCTTTCCAAGATGGAAATATTCTCAATCTCTTCCTGCTATCAAACTACCTGGAAATTGCTTTAGTGGGTAGAAGGTTTCTTGATGTAGTGATTTTAAAATATACCCACAATTTATTTGACAATCCTCTTCTAAAAAGGTAGAGTTTATTCCGTTCCTGATGAGTGTGGGCTGGACTTAATAACTCCCTTTTTTTTTTTTTTTAAAGGAGGCTCCACACCCAGGATAGAGCTAACATGGGGCCTGAACTCACCCCTGAGATCAAGACCTGAGCTGAGATCAAGAGTCAAACGCTCAACCGACTGAGCCACCCAGGTGCCACAATAACTCACTTTTAACAAATAAAGTGAAGTAGAGTTGACACTGTGATTTCCAAGGCTAGGCCATAAACTATATGGTGGCTTCCACCTTGTCCTCATTTGTCTCACTCATTCTGAGGAAGTCAAATACCATATCATTAGGACACTCAAGCAACTCTCTGGAGAAACTCATGAGCTAAAGACGTGCAGCCTCCCACCGACAGTCATGTGAGAGAACCGTCTTGCAGGCAGATCCTCTAGAACTCATAGACATCTTGGCCAAAACCTCATGAACAACCCGAAGACAAAACTACCCAGCCGAATTACTCTTGAATTTCTAATGCTCAAAAACCAGGAGTTAATAAATGTTCATTGTTGTAAGCCAGTAAATTTGGGGGTAATTATTGCATAGTAGTAGAGAACAAATACACTTGATGATCAAAATTACATCATCATCATCATGGCTCCATCATCTCCAGAGGTTCTCAGCCTGGGTCAGTGTGTTCCGTATCTGGATCTGCCTCGCTTTCAGTCTTCCCCAGCTATGGGCTGAACTCCATAAAAACAGCAGCCATTCCTAGCAGGAATCAGAAGTGGCCGGGTGTGTTTCAGGAAAAGTGACAGAAGAGGTGATTCTGGGAGGTTCCAACCTGGTTATTGTAATTAATACTCTGTGTGTATGTGTGTACATGTGTGTATTTTTATGCATGTGTGTTTAAATATTGAAAAGTCTTCCTTAGATTCTCTAGGGCTTCATTTTTGTTTTGTTTTAAAGATTTTATTTATTTATTTGACAGAAAGACAGCACAAGCAGGGTTATCGGGAGAGGGAGAAACAGTCTCCACACTGTGCAGGAATCCCAATGTGGGGCTCAGTCCCAGGACTCTAGAATCATGAACCAAGCCGAAGACAGACATTTAGCTGACTGAGCCACCCAGGTGTCTCACACTCGGGCTTTTCAAGCCAGAAAAGATTATGAACCATCTATAACTAGAAAAGTCCTTGAGAGCAGGTTCCCTCTGATTTGTCTTCATCTTCTTCATGGGTCCTATCATGGTGACTGCACTTGACAGCTGCTCAGTTAATATAAGTAGGCAAATGAATGAATACCCATGCTCCCACTGTCCCTCTGAACTTGCTCACATCTGCTCATATGTCCATGTGTGCGCACCAGCCTGCTCATCCCCACACACAGACTTTGTGTTGGTTAGGACTAGGATTGGCTGTAAGTAAGAAACCTCCAAAGACTAGTGGCTTAAATAAAATCTAAATTTGTTTCTTTCACACACACAAAGTTGGGAAGGAACACTATGGCTTGGTATTGTGACTCCGCCAACAGGTGCCTGGGCTCCTATTTTACTCCTCGGCTGTGTTCACTGCCCAACTTACGCTTCATGGTCCAAGATAACCACTCAGGGTCAGACATTATGTTCACATTCCAGGCATTAGGAAAAGAGACCAAAAAAAGCTATGCCGTCTCCCTGTAGATGCGATTCCCATACGTCTTCCACAGGCAGGCCTCTTTTTATTGCACTTCATGGATGCTGCATTTTTTTACAAAAGAAGCTTTGGGGCAACCCTGCCTTGAGCAAGTCTCTGGGGGCAATTTTCCCAACAGAATTTGCTCGCTTTATATCTCTAGGTCACGTTTTAGTAATTCTTGAAATATGTCAAATTTTTCATTATTATTATATTTGTCATGCTGATCTATGATCAGTGATTAGGACTTGCTCAAAGCTCAAATGATTGTGAGCATTTTTAGCAATAAAATATTTTTTAATTAAGGTATGGGTTTTTTAGACATAATGTTATTGCACACTTAATAGACTATAGCATAGTATAAGCATAACTTCAAGTGCACTGGAAACCAAAAAACGTATTTGACTTGCTTTATTATGATCATGCCTTGGTTTCCGTGGTCTGATACTGAACTGGCTGTGTTTCTCACGTGTGCCTGTGCACCACACCTGCTTACGCCTCACTGGCCAAACTTAATCACGTGGCCACACCTAGTGGCAAAAAAGGTTGGAAAATGCAGCCTTGTGCCTGGTTAAAAATAGGGGTTTCCTGGGGCTCCTGGGTGGCTCAGTTGTTAAGTGTCTGCCTTCAGCTCAGGTCATGATCCCAGGGTTCTGGGATCAAGCCCCACATTGGGCTCCCTGCTCAACAGAAAGCCTGCCTCTCCCTCTCCCACTGCCCCTCCTTGTGTTCCCTCTCTCACTGTGTCTCTCTCCGTCAAATAAATAAATAAAATCTTTGGGAAAAAAATCCTTTTCCACATAAGAGGAAAACAAAGGAAATTGGCATTTATGTCTCACACTGGGAGGCAGACAAAAGGAAAAAACCCCAGAGAGTTCATGGGTCTCCAGAGGAAGGGCTGGAGAGCTGTGGCTGGAAGAAAGTGAGTGGGGGATGGGGAGCAGACGACAGGGAGGTGGTGGACTGGGCGGTGGTCAGTAAAGAGACATGGACACACGGACACACACACACACACACACACACACACACAGAGCTTTCCCACACGTCACCCAGTCTTGCTGAGGGAGAATTTTGAGAAAAGGTTAGAGTTCATCTCTGTTGAGTTCTCCACATGTTTTCCTGAAAATAGAACTTTTTTTCTTTTTTTAAATATTTTATTTATTTATTTGAGAGAGCACGAGTGAGCGGGAAGGAAGGGGAGAAGGAGACTTCACACTGAGCAGGAAGCCAGATGTGGGGCTCGATGCCTGAACCTCTATCATGACCTGAGCCATAGACAGACGCTTAACTGACTGAGCCACCCAGGCGCCCCACAACTTTTTTTTTTCCTTCCAGAAGGATAGTGGGAGGGAGGGGCAGAGGGAGACTGGGAAAGAGAATCTTAAGAAGGCTCCACACCCCATGCAAAGCCCAAAGCCAGGCTTGATCATGACCTGAGCTAAAATCAAGAGTCAGATGCTTAACTGACAGCCATCCAAGAGCCCCTGGAAATGCAACTTCTATTAACAACATTACTAGTCTCTCTCCACCCGGGACATAGGACATGACTTACCTGATGGGTGGGCTTGTAAGAAAGTTGGGCACATGTGACTCTGTGCTGTCTCCCCTTTGGGATCCAGCCCATCAACAGGACCTGGTGTTCCAGGCTGCCCCCGTAGTGAGGAGGGCTGCCTTTTATCCCTGTGCCAATGACCTCTGGATTCATGTGATTCAAGGGTAGAGGGGTAGCAAGTCCATTTGTCTCCCAAATAAGCCATGTTCTCCAGCAAGCTTTTTTTTCTCCCAAATTTTTATTTAAATTCTAGTTAGTTAACATACAGTGTAATATTGGTTTCAGGAGTAGAATTTAGTGATTCATCACTTAATACAACACCCACTGCTCCTCACAACAAGTGCCCTCCTTAACACCCATCACCCATATACCCTATCCGCCACCCACCGCCCTCTATCAATCCTCATTTCGTTCTCTATTGTTAAGAGTCTCTTATGGTGGGACGCCTGGTTGTCTCAGTGGGTTGAGTGTCTGACTTCAATTCAGGTCATGATCCCAGGGTCCTGGGATCTAGTCCCGCATCAGGCTCCTTGTTCAGTGGGTAGCCTACTTCTCCCTCTCCCACTGCTGCTCCCCCTGCTTGTGCTCTCTCTGACAAATAAATAAAATCCTAAAAAAAAGTCTCTTATGGTTTGCCTCCCCTTC